AGGACCTGTTATCCATACGAGGTTGCTCTTATTTATATCTACCCAAAAATACTTATATATATATATATATATATATATATATATATATATATATATATATATATATATATATATATATATATATATATATCTATATTATGTATGTATGTATGTGTGTGTGTGTGTGTGTGTGTGTGTGTGTGTGTGTGTGTGTGTGTGGTGTGTGTGTGTGTGTGTGTGTGTGTGTGTGTGTGTGTGTGTGTGTGTGTGTGTGTGTGTGTGTGTCTAACTTACGCTTGAAACAATCAAGTGATCCCGAGTCACTTGAGATGTTACTCGGTAATTTGTTTCATATATATCAATCATTTTACTTCGAAACCAGTATTTACCCAGGTCTTGCCTGAATCTGAACTTATCCAATTAAAATCCATTGTTTCGTGTTCTATTTAGTGTTCATATATTTAACACCTGATATAATATGAACTATAAACAAACATTCCTTTTACGAAGTTTAGCATATTTGTTCTCAAGTTAAACTTAATGTAAAATATATCAAACAGACTCTATAATGAGACATCTCCAAGCTGAAAAATACTGCAAGCTTCGACCTTTCCAAGCTGAGACATGTACCAAGCCTTCTCTAAAACTCGGTCTTTCCAAGCTTCGAGACACTCACGTCCTTCTCTAATGAAAGAGTAATTCAAGCTGAGAAGAGTCGCAACTTTTCTTTAAGGTAAGGTATGCTTACCGAGACCTATTCATGCCCCTTTTTAATGTAAGTCACATCAAGCCTCTATCTAATGTAAGCCACATCAAGCCTCTTTCTAATGTAAGCCATATCAAGCCCCTTTCTAATGTAAGCCACATCAAGCCCCATTCTAATGTAAGCCACATCAAGCCTCTTTCTAATGTAAGCCACATCAAGCCTCTTTCTAATGTAAGCCACATCAAGCCTCTTTCTAATGTAAGCCACATCAAGCCCCCTATCTAATGTAAGCCACATCAAGCCATATTCTAATGTAAGCCACATCACGCCCCATCCTCATGTAAGCCACATCAAGCCTCTTTCTAATGTAAGCCACATCAAGCCCCCTATCTAATGTAAGCCACATCAAGCCATATTCTAATGTAAGCTACATCAAGCCCCATCCTCATGTAAGCCACATCAAGCCCCCTACCTAATGTAAGCCACATCAAGCCCCATTCTAATGTAAGCCACATCAAGCCCCCTATCTAATGTAAGCCACATTAAGCTCCCTATCTAATGTAAGCCACATCAAGCCCCATTCTAATGTAAGCCACATCAAGCCCCATTCAAATGTAAGTCACATCAAGCCCCCTATCTAATGTAAGCCACATCAAGCCCCATTCTAATGTAAGCCACATCAAGCCCCTTTCTAATATAAGTCATATCAAGTCCCATTCTAATGTAAGTGATATCAAGTCCGTTCCCAAATCTTGACACTCCTGAAAAGTACAATTATTTTGCCTGGCCACAAACCTAAGCCTAACCTCCTAACGGTCGAAAAGACGCGGAGTCTATTTAACGCTTAGAAAACGAAAATTTTACCATTTTACTAAATATTACACAATTTCGACGTTGTAGTCGGTTGCGTTTATCATAGTTGAACTTAACCTACGAACCAACATATATGTTTTACTTGTTCAGGGCAGTTTAAGCTGATATGTTTGCAGTCAAATATTCCAGCAATACTTATAAACATTTTTACCAATTAGATATAGAAACCCAAGAATTTCAACTCTCTTTTATTTAACTTTGTCATTCAGAAGTTTTGCAGACAAACTACTCTAAGAATACTTTTACCAGGAGTTTGCAGTCCAAACTTCGAAGATAAAGTGATAAGATTAGTTTTACATAAGTTGGGAGAGTTGAGGGAATTTTATCGGGATGGTGTGGCAGGCCTGGCTGGCAGGGGTGAGAGTTTACACCTAGTTCATAACTTTCTGTGTTTCACTGCTGAACGGAACCTCTCTGTCTTTCTCTGTGTGTCTCTATCTCTCGCTCTCTCTCTCTGTCTCTGTCTGTCTGTCTCTCTCTCTCTCTCTCTCTCTCTCTCTATCTATCTGAAAGTATGCCTCACGAGGATAAAATATGCCCCAGAAGGATACAATATGCCCCAGAAGGATAAAATTTGCCTCAGGTAGATAAAATATGCCCCAAGAGAATAAAATATGACCCAAGAGGATAAAATATCACTTAGGAGGATAAAATATGACCCGGGAGAATAAAGTGTATATAAACATAAAACTGTTAAATAATGTGATACCTTACCAAACCTGTTAGATATAAAGCGATTATTGCCCACCACCACGAAACTGTACCCCAAGATATAACCTATTTTGTAAATGTAAACTGTGAATTACTTCTTAATCTCTCAATTTACATATATATATATACCCCACCCCCCACCTCCCGCACATCCATCATTCCCCACCCTTTCCCTCTTAACTCCCCTTCCTTCTCCCTTACTTCTCCTTATCTCTTCATCCCTTACAATTCACCTCTCTTCATCATTCTACCCTTCCATCACACCTCTCCTGGCTCCCATTCCCTTCCCTCTCCCCTCCCTTCATAACCCTACGCTGGTATGATCAAGCATTATGTATGCATTGCTGATGCTGACCCCCCCTTTCTCCTCACCCCCCCTCTTCGGGCATTAACAAGGGGTTCAGAGTTGGTTATGACAGTCACAGTGCCCCGGGACAGTCACAGTGCCCCGGGACAGTCACAGTGCCCCGGGACAGTCACAGCGCCCCGGGACAGTCACAGCGCCCCGGGACAGTCACAGTGCCCCGGGACAGTCACAGCGCCCCAGGACAGTCACAGTGCCCGGGACAGTCACAGCGCCCCGGGACAGTCACAGTGCCCCGGGACAGTCACAGTGCCCCGGGACAGTCACAGTGCCCCGGGACAGTCACAGCGCCCCGGGACAGTCACAGCGCCCCGGGACAGTCACAGCGCCCCGGGACAGTCACAGCGCCCGGGACAGTCACAGTGCCCCGGGACAGTCACAGCGCCCCGGGACAGTCACAGTGCCCGGGACAGTCACAGCGCCCCGGGACAGTCACAGCGCCCCGGGACAGTCACAGTGCCCCGGGACAGTCACAGTGCCCCGGGACAGTCACAGCGCCCCGGGACAGTCACAGTGCCCCGGGACAGTCACAGTGCCCCGGGGACAGTCACAGCGCCCCGGGACAGTCACAGTGCCCCGGGACAGTCACAGTGCCCGGGACAGTCACAGTGCCCCGGGACAGTCACAGCGCCCCGGGACAGTCACAGTGCCCCGGGACAGTCACAGCGCCCGGGACAGTCACAGTGCCCCGGGACAGTCACAGCGCCCCGGGACAGTCACAGTGCCCCGGGACAGTCACAGCGCCCCGGGACAGTCACAGTGCCCCGGGACAGTCACAGCGCCCCGGGACAGTCACAGCGCCCCGGGACAGTCACAGTGCCCCGGGACAGTCACAGTGCCCCGGGACAGTCACAGCGCCCCGGGACAGTCACAGTGCCCCGGGACAGTCACAGTGCCCCGGGACAGTCACAGTGCCCGGGACAGTCACAGCGCCCCGGGACAGTCACAGCGCCCCGGGACAGTCACAGCGCCCCGGGACAGTCACAGTGCCCCGGGACAGTCACAGCGCCCCGGGACAGTCACAGTGCCCGGGGACAGTCACAGCGCCCCGGGACAGTCACAGCGCCCCGGGACAGTCACAGTGCCCCGGGACAGTCACAGCGCCCCGGGACAGTCACAGCGCCCCGGGACAGTCACAGTGCCCCGGGACAGTCACAGTGCCCCGGGACAGTCACAGTGCCCCGGGACAGTCACAGCGCCCCGGGACAGTCACAGCGCCCGGGACAGTCACAGTGCCCGGGACAGTCACAGTGCCCCGGGACAGTCACAGTGCCCCGGGACAGTCACAGCGCCCCGGGACAGTCACAGCGCCCCGGGACAGTCACAGTGCCCGGGACAGTCACAGTGCCCCGGGACAGTCACAGCGCCCCGGGACAGTCACAGTGCCCCGGGACAGTCACAGTGCCCCGGGACAGTCACAGTGCCCCGGGACAGTCACAGCGCCCCGGGACAGTCACAGCGCCCCGGGACAGTCACAGTGCCCCGGGACAGTCACAGTGCCCCGGGACAGTCACAGTGCCCCGGGACAGTCACAGCCACTGTGGAAACTTCCCGTTTATTTCCTTCGGTTACGTTGGTGGTCTTCACAGTGTGTTTTATATGGTGTCAATATAACTAGATAGCTTTTGTGTGGCCCGTGTATGACTGGCTTGTATGAGATTGGCTTGTGTGAGATTGGCTTGTGTTGGCGTGGCTTGTGTGGGTGTGACTTGCGTGGGTGTGGCTTGTCTGGGTGTGGCTTGTGTGGGTGTGACTTGCGTGGGTGTGGCTTGTGTGGGCGTGACTCGCGTGGGTGGGGCTTGTCTGGGTGTGGGGTGTGGCGGCTGTAGGTGTAGATGTGGGTGTTTAATATGACAAATGTCCAAAACAGCCTGTCTATACAGGCTGTAGAGGCCAGCCTGTATAGGCAGGCTGTTGGCCCACTCTGCTAGAATCCGTCTACCCCCCTCTCTGGCCGCCTATATGTCAACATCTACATTCAGTAATCCTAGACATATTAATAGGACGACATTTACCTTGGGTAGATAGGAATCACAAGAAAAATATGTGAATACTATTGTTTTACATTTTCTCTCTCTCTATCTCTCTCTCTCTCTCTCTCTCTCTCTCTCTCTCTCTCTCTCTCTCTCTCTCTCTCTCTCTCTCTCTCTCTCTCTCTCTCTCTCTCTCTCTCTCTCTCTCTCTCTCTCTCTCTCTCTCTCTCTCTCTCTCTCTCTCTCTCTCTCTCTCTCTCTCTCTCTCTCTCTCTCTCTCTCTCTCTCTCTCTCTCTCTCTCTCTCTCCAAAATGGGATCGTTGTGCTGGAGGCAATAACATATGCAGAACCAATGCATAGGAATGTATACAATATCCCGTCGAGGTATCCCAGGGCCGGTCAGAAATATGCAGGACTAAAGGAGGACAAGTCAGCAGCAGGGAGAGGACAAGTCAGCAGCAGGGAGAGGACAAGTCAGCAGCAGGGAGAGGACAAGTCAGCAGCAGGGAGAGGACAAGTCAGCAGCAGGGAGAGGACAAGTCAGCAGCAGGGACAGGACAAGACAGCAGCAAGGACAGGACAAGACAGCAGCAAGGACAGGACAAGACAGCAGCAAGGACAGGACAAGACAGCAGCAAGGACAGGACAAGTCAGCAGCAGGGAGAGGACAAGTCAGCAGCAGGGACAGGACAAGACAGCAGCAAGGACAGGACAAGACAGCAGCAAGGACAGGACAAGACAGCAGCAAGGACAGGACAAGACAGCAGCAAGGACAGGACAAGACAGCAGCAAGGACAGGACAAGACAGCAGCAAGGACAGGACAAGACAGCAGCAAGGACAGAACAAGACAGCAGCAAGGACAGGACAAGACAGCAGCAAGGACAGGACAAGACAGCAGCAAGGACAGGACAAGACAGCAGCAAGGACAGGACAAGACAGCAGCAAGGACAGAACAAGACAGCAGCAAGGACATGACAAGACAGCAGCAAGGACAGGACAAGACAGCAGCAAGGACAGGACAAGACAGCAGCAAGGACAGGACAATTCATCAGCAAGGAAAGAGCAAGGATGAATATGGAGGGGTCAAGGAGAGGCCAGGGGGCAAAAATGGGTAAAGTCGTGGGCACTCAGAGCCACCACTACACCTTCACACGTAGTTGATCTACAAGGGCAAGTATGCATGGGTCTCTGAATGGAACTCTAGAATCTACACGATTCTCTACGTGGGCCTCTATAAGAGTTGAAATTGCCCTCCAGATAACAGTGAGGGGGACAACTGACAACCCCACTGGGAGCCTCACAGAACCTTACCTAACTGCTTTGGAATGTTACCTCCATCTGTCTCAATCTTTCTGGCCAGTTCTCTATCCTCGTTTTCTCCCTGAATGTCTCTGTCAGTCTCTGTATATCTCTATCAGTGCAGATTTTACGTTTTTTTTCGCATAGTTGATAATAATAATACATACTCCTTTATGTTACAGAGTTTACTGAGGGAAGCTCTGCTGCACCAGGTTACTATAGGAAGAGGGCTTGTGTCGGGGGCTTGCCCCTATATCCCTGTAAGTGTCGACTGAGAGATTGCCATGGAGGCTCTTGAACTGCTTGGCACGAAGCCTCTGCTTTGGCTCTTGAACGAGCTCTGACGAAGAGCCAGAGCTCTTCGTCTATTCCTGACGTGGTAACACTGAGCGTAAGATATAGGTAAGATACATTGGAAGTTACTACACAGCCATATACACAACAGAATGACAGTGAAGAGTGCGAGGTAGGAGAGGCGGCCATACAAGAAATGACAAGGATACCAGCCTCCAGGGAATGTTCACGACACAGCCCGGGGAGCTCCCAGTGCTAGACGAAGACTTGAACCAGGTCGAGAGATTGAAAACTACTAAGACAACAGAGGCAGTAGAGAGACAACTAGCATCACTAGATGAAACAACAGTTGACCAGACCAGGCCTTTGCTCTTATGGGAGACCCACGTCTTTTCGGTCATTTTGGTACAAAGGCAGCATAGGGTAATGAGGAGTAGAGATGCCATAGGCACAATCAAAGAACACTGTATGAATATCAGAGGTCCACATCCATCCAATAGTCCCCCAGCAAGCACAAGAAATATTGCCATCACAAAAGTGGCTTTCTTCTAGAAAAAAAGGAGATACGTTCATGCAAGGAGCGTTGGACCATTAGGGATGTAGTGGATCTGTCGACCTACGGGCCACTTTATGTAAGTCTGCTGGACCAAGTTAGCACAAACCAAGCGGGCTTGCAGGGTAGAAGCACTCCCAGAACCCGCTACTGGTATGATACCTGGAGTTGCGACATTCGCACTACTCTAAGTTCATCTAGTGTAGTCAAGACATAACGATTTCCTCATGCTGGCGATATTGCTTCTACAAAGGGATTAGCCACAGCAGCTGCCTCCAGGCGACTGTATTGTCTCTCTGCTGCCCAAGTCTTAACTTATTGATTCATGCAACCTTGACTTGAAGTTTTATATGTTGGATAAGTTGTCCTTCAGAGCAGCAATCTGCGTGGGTCAAATCTCAGCGAAAGCAGGTACCTGAGTGAAGTTCCTGGGCCAGCGGAGTCAATCTCGATGCTTACAGAGATAGGGCTCCAGCATGCTGATTGGCTGAGGAATTTCATCTCCGGTATTTTGGCCAATAATATAATGTCAAGGGACGCTCCCTCCTTGTTGGTAGAGACGGTCGTGTGACACGGTCACGGGACGTTCTACAGAGATGGAAAAAGCAATATGGTGACACTCACAAGAATCACAAAGAAACATCAACATAGAGAATAACAAAATCCTGTGAAGGGACCCTCGTCATTGTCCTTCCGAGTGAGAACGAGAGGACGCAAAACAGAACGAGGGGACACCAAACAGAACGAGGGGACACCAAACAGAACGAGGGGACACCAAACAGAACGAGGGGACACCAAACAGAACGAGGGGACACCAAACAGAACGAGGGGACACCAAACAGAACGAGGGGACACCAAACAGAACGAGGGGACACCAAACAGAACGAGGGACACCAAACAGAACGAGGGGACACCAAACAGAACGAGGGGACACCAAACAGAACGAGGGGACACCAAACAGAACGAGGGGACACCAAACAGAACGAGGGGACACCAAACAGAACGAGGGGACACCAAACAGAACGAGAGGACGCAAAACAGAACGAGGGGACACCAAACAGAAAGAGAGGACAGATTCAACTTGGAAACAAAGATGAGCCAGAAACATCTGTAGAAAAATATTCAAATAAAGTGAAGAGGCAAACAAGTGGCATAAAAGATATCGGAAGTGCTAGAAGCCCCCTAAACTTAGGTGACACCTAAACTTAGGTGGCACCTAAAATTAGGTGGCACCTAAACTTAGGTGGCTCCATCAAGGAACTTATAATCTCTTCCCACAACCAAACCATCACCAGAGAAATCTTAGCATACAACACAGAAATCATCGATAGATACAGCGATAGCAGGCGGCTTGACATCTGCGAGGCTCTACACATCAAGAAGTCAACACCAGCAATCAACAGCCAATTAATGCACAACTATATTCTACCGATTTCAAGACTCCGCTCCAATATAGAAGCATCAAGAAATATGGGCCAATAGGCCTTCTGCAATTACTTCCATTCTTACCTTCAATACCCATTGTTTCGTGTTCTATTTTGTGTTGAAAGTTTTGTTCACCTCATCCAAAACTGTTGTAACATATCACCTCACCCAAAATGCGGGTATAAAATGAAAAATGAAAGCTGTTTAAATCATAGCATAAGTAAGAACTCTGTTTAGTGTTTGCAGTTAATAGTTGTGTGTGTGAAAACTAAAAGTCTTTGAAAATGTAATAAGTTATTACGAAACGCGTTCAAGTGTCGCGTCAGACTAGAAATGAAAATGAATTTTGGAGAATTGATTTTTCAATTACCACCAACAGTGAAAAGAAACATAAGAAAGATCGAGAAAATTCGTGTTAGAATTATTAATCTTACTTTTTCGGTCATATTTAATAATATATGTCTACAGGAAAGACTGCTACCAAAATATATATATATATATATATATAGATATATATATATATATATATATATATATATATATATATATATATATATATATATATATATATATATATATATATATATATATATATAACCGCGAGAAATGCAAAGACAGGCAGAATGCAAAGTCCGGCGGACATATTCTGTTATGTTGACTGAAAATACAAGCCAGTTGAGGTGTTTCAATCCCTGCAGGTTAAAATATGTAATATCTTGCGCAGTAGGACGCCCGGGTACATGGACGCTCTGTATTCTTCACTGTGTCTCGCTTGATTTATCTCTGTGTCTTGTTAATAATTTGGTGTTTGTGTCTGTCGGTCTGTCTTTCTGACTGCATTGATGGCTGCATTTTTCGGTATGGATTTGGCTGTGTTTATATTTTTGTGTGTCTTTTTCAATGTGTTTTTCTGTCTGGTTTCTTTTTTGTGTTTGTCTTCTTTCTATTATTTTTTTCGTCTCTCTTTCTGTGTATTTTTCTGTCTGTCTGTCTTTTTAGCTATTTTTTTCTGGTCCTGTTGTTTCTGACCACGTGTGTCAACCCATCAAAGGCACCAGCCTTACCTACCAGGTCGTCACACCTGGTCACCCTAGGCTACAACACACCTGGTCACCCTAGGCTACAACACACCTGTCACCCTAGGCCACAACACACCTGTCACCCTAGGCCACAACACACCTGGTCACCCTCGGCCACAACACACCTGGTCACCCTAGTCCACAACACACCTGGTCACCCTCGACCACAACACACCTGTCACCCTAGGCCACAACACACCTGGTCACCCTAGGCCACAACACACCTGGTCACCCTAGGCCACAACACACCTGGTCACCCTAGGCCACAACACACCTGGTCACCCTAGGCCACAACACACCTGGTCACCCTAGGCCACAACACACCTGGTCACCCTAGGCCACAACACACCTGGTCACCCTAGGCCACAACACACCTGGCCACCCTAGGCCACAACACATCTGGTCACCCTAGGCCACAACAGACCTGGTCACCCTAGGCCACAACACACCTGGTCACCCTAGGCCACAACACACCTGGCCACCCTAGGCCACAACACACCTGGTCACCCTAGGCCACAACACACCTGGTCACCCTAGGCCACAACACACCTGGTCACCCTAGGCCATTATTAACTTGAACTGTTCACCTGTTAATAGTCACTCTCTTTAATGCCAATCTCTCACCTCAGCCATAGTGACAAACATCCACAGTGAAAACAATAACAGAAACGGTAAACAAACAAACACAACAAAAGTATTCCCCCCACAGCCTAAATCCCAATACGGAATATGAAAAAAAGAACAGAACAGAAATTCTTCATGACTTGAAATCAGAGCTGAGGAAGGCCAACTGCAGAGTATTTCCCATTAGTTTTTTCCCCTCTTCCTGGCTCGCCTTTGGCTGGTGCAGTGATGCAGAGTTATGCATGGGGTGGCGGCCGTCCCTCACAACACTCTCGCCCGGGACGCTCTGGCACGCTAAAAAAAAAAAAACCGGAGTAGCACTCGCATATGGCAGTTGGAATATATGTATATATATATATATATATATATATATATATATATATATATATATATATATATATATATATATATATATATATATATATATATATATATATATATATATATATATATATATATATATACCCCAGAAGTATATACTCCCAGAAGCAACGCAACTATATATCCATAATATGGAATATGGAATATTTGAACCACCCCACCGCCGGCACTCGGCTATCACCTCATTTTGTCCGGTCGTGATATGGATTATATATAGTATGGGTTCGAGTATATTTTCAGTTGCATATATATGGGGACCATTCAGGCTTGTTCGCATATATATATATATATATATATATATATATATATATATATATATATATATATATATATATATATATATATATATATATATATATATATATATATATATATATATATATATATATAAGAGAGAGAGAGATTGTCTGACTGTGTGAAGCCTTAGATAAGACGCTTGTCATGAGTTTCATTAAAGTTT